ATCTAGACTGAATTTATCCAATAATCTTGTTGGAATTCAGAATATTAAACAGACTTTTGAAATTAGATGGAAAAAATTTTAGACAACTTGGTGCTTGCGAGTTTACTATTAACCAGAAAATTTAATAAATTTAACAGGAAGAAATAAATCAGATTTATCTGCTAATTCCTACAAAAATTCTGATTCGTCCATTTTCCAACAGACATACTGGTTGAATCTACCATAATTCTATGGTACGCGATAAAAAAAATAATAAATAAGCATTTTGGATATATTTAAATTTACTTATCCAAAAATATTATATATATATATATGCAACAACATTTTCAAATAACAAAAATTTATAATAGTGTATTATATATGTTTCTTCGCTGCCGCTAGGCGACGACAAATTCAACTAACTCGTATTTAAATTTTCATCATAAAATGGGTAAAAAGAAAGTCTTCAAAGGATTGATAAAGAACTAACATAAGATTTAAAGTATATCTGTTTTCTTTTATTTAATTTTTGATGAATTGAATTGATTTAAAGTAATTTGTTTAATGATCTGGATCCCTTATTGGAATTCAGAATATTAAATAGATTATTTCAATCTAGACGTATAAATAGTCCATTTAGTGCGTGTATTAAAGTATTTTTATTGCCGAGTGTATGTAAGATCAAAAGTCGTATATTAATTATTGAGATAAACATTAAATAAGAAACATTTAATAAAGAACTATTTTATAAACAGATTAATAGATTATCCTTTTCTTTATCCGTTATAAATATTAACATTTACCTTGCTGCCAAATAAAATATATTTGGTATAAACGTGTTTTATTTTTAATAGTTATTTTAACATTTTTGTTTTCTTATATTATGAAATATGTTAAAAAGTCATATAAAAATTTCATATTTTATATATCATTATTATTTTATTTGCAGCTATTATTTTTTATCTCAATTTATTTTATTCATCATTGATTGGCAACTTTTAAATAATTTGAAAGCAATTAGGCATATGACTTCTGATTTTCTTTATACCGAAATGAGAAATTCATTGTTACTGTATGTTCGTAACAATTAGTCTACTGCTTTTTTAATAAAAGATTCTAAATAACAAATTCTATCTAATTAAACAAATTATTTAATATTGAGAGGATAGATAGGAAACTGTTACATTTATTAAAGCGAAATGTCAAAATTTAATGTTTTTATAAATTAAATTTCGAATTTTAGGCATTGAATATGATTTTCTTATTACTTGCTTTAGTAAATTTAGCCTCATTATTAATATCATATTCCTGAAAGTGCTAGGGAACAAAAAACGAAAATACTTTATACAGTAAAAATTTATTCCTATAGCATACAATTTTACATTTCTGGCGAGATTTCGTAACTTATATAATGAAATTTATTGACAAATTCAAATGTTTTCCCACATTTCTGTTTAAGAATATAAATAATTGTGCAGCTATGTTTGTGCAGAAAACGTGAAAACATAGAATTCTATTTATCATTCATAAATTTGATTTAATATCTATATCGGCATTTATGCCACCCAAATTTTAAACATTAACGCCTATATGTTATTAATAATGAGCTCTTTTGTATGCGATATGATTATTCCAATCTCTTTATTATTTTTGTTCTTCATTGTGTTTCAATGCAGTGCAATGACTTGGAAAATGTAATAGCGTTTGTGAAAAATATATAATGGGCGAGGACTTTGATATGCTGGAGTCGAAAAGTCCTGAACAATTTTTTTCCATAATGCTTAATAAAGCAGTAATGAATGAGTAAAGTCGCGCCAATAAAAAGACAAACTTCCTTGTTATCAACATATTTGAAGATTTGGATAAGCAAAAAAATAAACTGTTTTGTGTTAATTTTTAAACAATTCATCTTTTCAGAAATCTTTTTAATACTTAGATCTGTTTAATTATTTAATGAATCTTGGAAAAAAATGGTTCAGGACTTTTCGACTCGATTTTTAATCAGGAATAACGCTATTTGCTTAGTGGGAGTTTCTTAAGATACACTCTGTATATCAAAGTCCTCACCCATTATATATTTTTCACAAATGCTATTACATTTTTCAAGTCATTGCACTGCATTGAAACACAATGAAAAACAAAAGTAATTTGCAATTAACAATTCCATATTTTTTCTTAAAAGTAACTATGTATTTTCTTTACACCAATTGATTCCTCTCATTATTTTGCACATAAAAGTGTGAAGGTAAGATAATCAAAAAATGAATATTTTAAAAGATATTTTATGATTTATGTAAAATTAAGAAATGATTTCAAGCCTTATAACTCGAATAGTACTTCATGGAAAAATAATTTATTATAGGCTTTTGGAAAGCTTTCGAGATAAGTTATAAGAATATGCAATGAAAAATAGGGTGTTCCGTTTAAATAAATGCACTTCCGGTTTGAATCGCCTACTTCCGGCCGGAACCAGAAGTTGAAAATATCACCATTCGATAGCGCGCCCGATTTATAAAGAAAATATTTTAACTTTTTTGAAATAACCACTTCTCTAGTTTTTAAATGGGTGATACGGGTGGTCTGAAACACCCTGTATATATATATATATATATATATATATATATATATATATATATATATATATATATATATATATATATATATATACAGGATGGGCCATTTTAAGTGATCCACCCCAATAACTTTTTTATATTTGAATGTACAACAAAATGTTTCAAATAAAAGTTGCTTGACTTCGAGGGGGACAGAAGATGGGTGGCAAAAATTTGACCTTGGATAGTCATTTGAAAGTCACATAAAGATTACCTTCAATTTCTTAAATGGAACCCCCTATTTTTCATTGCATATTCTTGTAGTTTATCTCGAGAGCTTTCCAAAACACTATAATTAAGTACCTTTTTATTAAGTACTTTTTGAGTTATAAGGCTTGAAATAATTTCTTAATTTTACATAAACCATAAAATATCTAGTAAACCATTCATTTTTCGATTATCTTATCTTGATACTTTTATATACAAAATAATGAGAGGAATCAATTGGTGTAAAGAAAACATACAGTTGTTTTTAAGAAAAAATATGGAATTGTTAATTGCAAATTAAATATTTTTTCTTAGAAACAACTATGTGTTTTCTTTATACCAATTGATTCCTCTCATTATTTTGTACAATAAAAATATGAAGGTAAGATAATCGAAAAATGAATAGTTTACTAGATATTTTATGGTTTATGTAAAATTAAGAAATTATTTCAAGCCTTATAACTCAAAAAGTACTTAATAAAAAGGTACTTAATTATAGTGTTTTTGAAAGCTCTCGAGATAAGCTACAAGAATATGTAATGAAAAATAGGGGGGTCCATTTAAGAAATTGAAGGTAATCTTTATGTAACCTTCAAATGACTATCCAAGGTCAAATTTTTGCCACCCATCTTCTGTCCCCCTCGAAGTCAAGCAACTTTTATTTGAAACATTTTGTTGTACATTCAAATATAAAAAAGTTATTGGGGTGGATCACTTAAAATGGCCCACCCTGTATATATATATATATATATATATATATATATATATATATATATATATAGGGTGCCACTTAATTGGCTCCCACTATTTATATAGCGATGTTCCTCATGGAAAACTCCTATCGAAAAGTCTTAAACCATTGTTTTCTATAATGAAAAAAATTGTAAATTTTAAATTTTAAATTTTAAATTTTCGGTGCTTATTGGCGCAACTTTACTCAATAATTACCGCTTTATTAAGCTTTATAAAAAATTATTAAGCTTTATAAAAAAATATGGATCAGAACTTTTCGATTCAGTTTTCCACGAGGAAAACCGCTATATAAATAGTGGGCGCCAATTAAGTGACCTGTATATATATATATATATATATATATATGTATATATATTTATATATACAAATATATTTATTTTCTTTTAATACAGCGTTACATTTTTATTAAAAAATATAAAAAATATACAGCATATATTATCGTTGGAGCCAGACGTGTTCCCATGTGTTACGCTTTGCGATCATTGTGCCATGTACAAGGTTCATCTAAAACAAAAAATCAATTGATTCTTAAAATTGATTATAAATCTAGTGCCTTCGTCGTAATCTACTTAAAAAATTTGCAATATTTAAAAAGTGGCGTCTACCTGAATCTGAAGGGTGGTGAATTTGCTAAAATGTACTTATTGCTAAAAAAAAAAAAAAAAATATAGCTTATAAATTCATCCCAATCTGAATCGTGTTTATCTGTTTAAAATGCTATCTTTTTATTTTTTTAATTTCGACTTGAAATTTTAAGGAAATATTTTAAGATATTATACTAATATATAAGAAAATGCAGAAATTAAAAAATCATTTTTTCTGATCTGGATGTATGTTTTCCTTTAAGTCTTCGAAAATAGTAACAGTACCGCTTGAATATTAGCTATAATAAATAGACAATTACATTGACTTTAATAATATATAAATAATAATAATGAATACAATCTCTTTATTTATTAATATACATGTGTATAATTATTGGCTATAATATATTATACACACTCTCACATATCATACACAATATATACTCCTCCGAGCTCGCCTCTCTCTCTTTCTCGCGATCCAATATAAAAATCTCTTTCATGGCCAGATATAAATCTTATTGTTAAATGCGCAAGACTAAAAGCGCACCGCGAGAAAGGTCGTCCCCTAAATATTTTATAATTTATATCTCGAAATTTTACGTGGTTTTTTGCAAAATGGTATAAAATTTTTTAGTTCAGTTTAGCGAGATCTACTTATGATTTTACTTTGCACCGAAATACTGGAAACAACCTGTATATGTACGTATCTGCGTATAATAAACACACGTAAATATATAATCAATATCTATGTATTAAATTTGTAACACAGAAAAGTAATACAATATAATATGTAATATAATAATGATAAGTGAATAAATAAGTATATACATTTATAAATATTATTACAATCATTTATGCTGTATTTTTAATTTCTAAACAGTTAATGTTTTAAAGATTTAATTATTCAATTATTGAATAAGGATCGAAAATATTTTGTCTGTTTTTCGATCTCAGACCAGCGTGTTCCTATCTTCAGTTCAACATCAGTAATTGAAATGATTGAACTTTTGAGCTTTTTTTTTACAAATTCCTTTATCTAAAATTAATTATTTTAGTAATTATTATCAATAAATGATTTCGTATTTAATAATTGTACTGTCACAAATACAGAGTATTGTTATAAACCGAATTATAAGAAAATATTATATAAAATATAGAAATTTGATTTATTTAAAATTTACCTCGCCCAACTGTTGCATAAAATACGCATTGTTAATTATAACAATTAATGTTACAATCTCACTGACTTTTCTATAAAAAATAAAACAATACGTTTATAATTAATTCATACAATAAATCTTCACATATATGTGTAGTATATCTTTATTAAATAATATCGTCACCTGTGTCTTATTGTTTCGTAATTACTTAATAAACTTGTAAGCATATATTTAGTATGTCTTTCAATGACAGAAAGAAAAATATTAGCATTTAAGGCATAAGCTCCCTTTACCGGTTCAGGTTGAAGATAAGATTGATTATACCAAGGTTTGAATAAAATTTGTGATAATTTTACTGTAAGCCAGACATTCTAAACTTATATCATTTCCTTTCATGTAATAATTAAAAACGTTATTCCATGTATCACGATCTGCCGTCTTCAAACCATTACAATATGTCCACCTCTTCCATCCAGGTAAAAGTCTACAGAAGATAGTCCAAAAAAGAAATAAAAATCTTTTAACGAAATTGTGTTAATAGTTTCTTTAGTGTTTTATGAATAATTTTTGAAATAAATGATAACTAATTTCTCAAATATATGCAGAATGTAAAAAATATTTCTATAAAAAGTATAAAATATTATGAAAAGAATTACTTGTTTTTTTTAGGATTTGTTAGATGCCATTTCAAATAACGATTAGACTTTCGTTCGCAAGGATCATCCTTCATAATACATTCCCACTTTGCAAGTTCTTGTTTTAAACATTTAGTATAGTCGCTGATGTTACTTTGATACCGAATCCAATAACTTGATCTAAAATTCTTCATAAAATCAAATCTTAGCACGTCCTAAAATTTAATAACAGATATAATGTACGCGCATTCGAACGTTTTTACTAAATAATTTTCTTTCATATTTCTTTAATATTTATGTGACTTCGCATCAATATCATAATAAGTAGATTTACCAATTTCTTATTGGTGTGTGAATTTCTTATTTGTGTATATATTTTATCATCGCGTATGGTTTTATATCATTTAATGTATTTTTAACACATATATCGATATATAATGTGTTTCATAATATTGTGCTAACGTTTGTGTGTATTTATTTTACCATCGCGTATGGATTTTATATCATTTAATGAATTTTTTACACACATATCGATATATAAAGTATTTCATAAAAATGTGCTAACGTTCATGAATGGATAGAACGCAATAAATTGAATAGAAAGATCATTTACCATTCTACAATTTTCGTAATAATTATTAAAATAATAATTAAAAATGTGAATAAGCGGACGTTTTGCGAGACTATATCGTAGGATATACGCAATAGGTGTGCCAGCGCCGAATGTCGCATACTAATGAAAAAACAAGAGTCGAGACACGCACGTTCAAGCTTTACGAGAAACTTTGTGTATATATTTTAATGTGTTCATATTTTTGTATCGAATGATGTATCGATTTTGATATATAATTTTTATTTTTTTAATTAATATTTCCTTAATTTAAATCTGTGACGTATCAAATATAGATTTTAAGTATAATAAACTTTAAATATCAATATTTTTTATAAAACAAGCATTTACAAGTGAATTATTATATATTAAATTATTATGTGTTGTATAATGTAAAAAAAATATGCTAAAATTATATAAGTCAATTTCTCTGCAAAATGTTTGTATACTTTAACATCGTAAACGTTCGAATACGACGAAAGAAAATTAATATAACAAAGATAATTGTGTTATATATTGTATTCTATAATTTTCTAAAACTAATTAATAAATATTAATTACACAATTGATCTACAATTATCATATAAACTAACGTATTATTATTATAGTAAAATAACTTGATGAAATATTCAAAATTTATGTGATTGTATTCAATATAAAGAAAAAATATATAACAAATATGTAACGTAAACGTATTTTGAATTTAAATTTCTGAATTTTGGTATAAAAATAATTAAATATTAATTTACATGTTAATTTTTTTGTTTAACTCTTTACATATATCTATTTTTAAAAGAATTCATTATTATGATATGAAATCGTTGTATTATAAAATAGATAATTGATGTAATGGATACATTTTATAAAAAAATGTTATTAAATATACATATATATATATATATATATATACATATATATATATATATATACATATATATATATATATATATATGTATATATTTATATACCTTAAATTCAGGATAAAAATTTAAGAATGGAAAGATGTTCGACAGAAATTCAAATGCTTTGAGCATAGGATACCATGCTATATAATCTGTTTCCTGTGCCAAATAAGAAGCGAGTTCCCAAAATACGGAGAATTTAAGTTTTTTCTCTATCGCAAAATGAAACGCATCATTGATGATCTGCGCCCGATTGAGAACATGTATATTACTATAATTTTCAGAATTTAAGTATTGTGCAATTTTTCTCCAGTTCATAATATCATAATTGACGCGATAGTATCCTGTTATAAAATAAATTACTTTTGTCAATTATTAAATACTTTGAAATGATATATATTGATTGAACATATTTCGAGATGTTAAAGATATTTTGATATTAAATATATTATTATTATTATTAGAAAAGTTTGTATCTTCCATTTTTATTATTTAACATGAAAATTGTATCAGCAATTCTACAAATTACAGCAAAAAATGAAAATTTCAAATATATTGTCTTATTAAAATTTCAATGTTCTTGCAATATCTTTTGTTATATCTTATATTATATATATGAGTTTTAATACATTTTATGATTATTTTTAATTAAAATTTATGTCATATATTATATCATATATATATGTATATATCTATGGTACATTATATACATATATACATGTATATACATATATATATATATATATATATAATAATTATACAAACATATGTATTTATATATTAAAATATATATACTTGAAATTATATACAACATAATTGTAAATTTATTATCATATAATATATAATATAAATTTAATGTTCAATATATAAATTTAGATGTAAATTTATTTTTTAATATTTACCAGCTTGTTGTAAATTGATAATAATCCATTGATTATTCTCATGAAAGAAAAATTCAATTTTTGAATCTTTTGGTGTTAACCACATATCTGTCCAAGTTATGGTAAAATTGGGATTTGACTCCGTAGCATAAGTAATAGGTATATAACATTGTTTCTCTAATTTGTTGTAAAATTGTACAGTTACAAAATTGTACATTACCGATACAGTTACAAGATAACTAGAATAATTTCGCGTCACCTCCAACACGGAAGGATATTTCTGCACAATCCACGAATTTACCGCATCTTTTATATTAAAATCATACTTAGGATACGATTCATTTAGCTTAGATCTCATAGCGTTCCATAAATGATCGGCAGTTGTTGCTTCAGGCTTACTAAGTCTATAAGATTTAACATTATGATAATTTTAACACTATATTAAAATTGATAAATAAATAATTAAGAAGAAAATCATATATTATAAAATTTATTATCGTATTTTAATCTATAATGTAACTCCTATAGAGAGAGAAATTTATGAACTTTAATATATATAACAAATAATAAAGGTATAAGTCTCGAAATATAAAATTAACAAATTAGCAATAATCGATGTCGATCGTCGATGTTATGATACATTTATTTATTTATTATACAATAAAAAACATGAATAAAAAATAAAAATAAAAAGAAGAAGGAATAGCAAACGTGACTCTATGTTCAGTTTATATTTATTTTAAAAATTATTTCAAAATGGACATTTAATTCTTTGCATCTTTTTAATCTTTTTACGTTAAATTTTAATATTTTCTCCATTATATATTAATTTACATTATCCATTTATCTTGTTTCAACTTTACATAGGCATTGACAAGATAATGAGATACCGAGACATTTAGTATTACTTTGGACGGCATTCTATCTCATTAATTCAGATATGTAACACCTTTGTATATTTTTCCATCACATTTGCGCTGAAGATGACCCAAAAATAGGATTGAAACGTTGCTATTGAAACTAATTTGTTAATTTATATATATATATATATATATATATATATATATATATGTGTGTATGCACAGAATTATTCGTGCATATATGTACTGTATACACGATAGATTCGAGAATTTGATATTTTATTTATATTATATTTATATATTTTTATTTAATATATTATTTACTATAATATATTAATATATATTTATTAACAATTATGTCAACATTGTGTTGTCATTGAATAAATAATAATTTTAATTTTCACATTACAAAGATTTTCTATATTCTATGTTTGTAAAACTAGATTCTCGAAATTATTTAATTTGAATTGTTTGTTATTTAGAAAATATGAATTTCTATTACATATTTATTAAGAAATATTCAAGTTGAAATTCAATCTTGACAAAAATTCATAAATATAAATCTCAGTATAAGTTTGAGATTTCAAATATCTATGTCTTATAAACATTGGGAGAAATACATTATTAATTTTATTATATATTCTTGATTTCCTTTTCCTCTATGATATATATTATTACATTACAATACATTATACTTACTTATTGTTCATATATTCGTCGAATCCCTTTCTAAATGTATAAGGTGGCACTGTTTCTATTAACATGCGCCATATAATGGATCCTATAATGTTTAAAAGAGAAGAAATTTAGTATATTTAAATTGCCTTTTCTGCAATGCGCAATAAAGGTTTCCGAATATATCCGTAATTAATAAAACTAAATATATCATACAAAATTTGGGCAATTACATCAAAGTAAACAGGTATAAAAAATTGTTGAATTCATTTTAACAAAAAAATTTATAATAATAGATAAATAGTAAATGATTAAATATTCAAAATTAAATTAAGAAAATGCTTCGTGATGTAGGGTGGTGGTACGAAATAGCTATAAAGAGTTAAAACTGCAAAGACACAGACCTCTAAGATTGAAAGGTAAATTTAATAGGAAAATCTGTCAAAGCACAAAAATTATTAAATACATTTTAAGAGACAAACGCATGTTTCGATCTACTACAAATCCTTTTCAATGTCATACAAAATTATGAAAATAAACGCTAAGCATGAAACAAAGGAGGTCATGAGGACCTTATTGATGATTACAAATTTAAACGCATAAAGAAACGATCGGAAATACACATAGTAGAAAACGCAAAAATTGAATGAAAGCATAAAAAGCATAAAAAGCTGCAAGAGAGCGCAGCTCACCTCGATATCTTAATGCGCTATAACTGAAATCAGAGAGAGAAGGCGTCTGGAGGTGGCAGCTAGCCAGTGAGCAAAAATCTGTTAGAGAAAGCCA